GAAGGTTGAGAGCCACTGCTCTAGACTGAGGCACAGGAGGGCAGCCGGAGTGAAAGGCACCAGCATGCTGCAAGCAAGTCATAGGGCTGGCATGATCTTCTGTAGATAACAGGGAGCCAGGTCCATGAAATGGGGAGCCAGCTGTCCAACAGCCCAGAAGTCACACCCAGGCAGGGAAAGACCCAAGAAAGTTATTACAAGAAATGAAGTCAAGCCCTCACCTGGGGAAGCACCCTCTGCAGCCATTTGGAGAAGGGCAGGAGTCGTGACCCCCAACCACAGGGATTCCTGAGCCCTCCCCAACGCAGCCCTGAGAGGCCAGCCCTCAGCTCCCTGTGCCCCCTCCCACTCCTCAGCTACACTGACCAAGGCAAACCCCTCTGGGAATGTGACATGAGGGAAACAAGGTGACAAGCATGATGCCACCAGTTATGGAGGAGATTGGCCCTTTGTGGGAACAAAATCACTGCACTTCAGTCTGCAGCAGGTGACTGGAAAAGTTGGGGGCTGCCCAAACTCCACTCCGGGTGACCTCTGAGGCACCGCTGCTACAAGCTGATTAGTCCTGCTCTGCAGTGTGGACAGTGGGGCAGGGAAGCCCAGAGGACCAGCCCCTCATCGGATGGGTACACAGGTAATCCCTAGAGAGGAGCCTGGGTGGGACAGGAAAGATGCCAGGTCACACCAGGGCCTGGGAAGATGTCCCTTGAGTCTGCCTGCTCTGTCCTCTAACGCTAGTGGCTTCCCAAACGCTGACCAGAGGGAGAGTCTCATAAGCTGCCTCCTCTGACCCGTGCCGTGAGCACCACTTGGAGGAAGAAGCACGAGTGAGTTTCCGACCTCCAGGCAACAGCCAGCCGGCAGCCTGGGACCTCAGTGGCCGCCAGTGCCCCCGCCCTGCCATGCCTTCCCGCAGCCTTCCATTCCTTCTCCCGAACCCTGTGGCAGAAGTGAGAACAACCTTTTGGAAGGAGATTTTGCTGGGAAACTTAGAGAAAATGTTTTAGCTCCCCAAAGGGGAAAAACTATTACAAAAGTAGGCAGGTCAGTGGGCACAGAGGGTACAGGTCCATGGGTGGCAAGTGACAGAAGCTGAGTCAGGATGGCTGGGAGACAGGGAGCCACTGAGGGCCCAGCAGAGCTCATCTCCAGGTGACCCTGAGGACACGTGAGTCAGCTCTGCCCATTATCTTTCCCCCTGGACAGCACAGCTAAGCCTCACACCAGCTGCCTGGCTCACCTGGACTTCAACCTCACAGGCCCCAGCAGATCCCCCTGAGCATGGCTGAGAGGGGGCCCTCGGGGTCCAGGGGACAAGCTGTAACTGGCCTTCGGTGGTTAGGCGTCTATTCCTGGACTAACCAGCTGGGGGTAGGGAGTGTAGTTGACCATACAAGCTCTGTAGGAAGCAAGCAGATCCCATCAGAGGCAAATGGTGGCCTGGTAGCAGAGGCACCACCCCTGAAGAAGGCAGCTCAAATGGGCATTTCCCACACAGAGGGAGTGAGCCTGACAGAGAGGGAAGGGCTGGTACAGCAGCCCCAGGCCTAGGCTGGGTGAAGCGCCAGGCTACAGGGGCGAGGCAGGGCAGGTCCTGCCCTCCTCTGTGCTTGGACTGGCTGGAGAGCTCTGGGATGCCCCTCAGGTCCAGCTGGCTCTGCTGCAGGCTGCTGATGAGGCCATGGATGTGGGGAATGGGCTGTGAGGTAACAGGGTCCCCCACAGCCTGGGAAACACTCAGGGAGTGACCCCCAGCCACTTCTCCACCTTTAACGACATGGGAGTTTTTTGTTGGTTTTTTGTTTGTTTATTTTGTGAAATAGAGTCTTACTACATCGCCCTCCGTAGAGTGCTGTGGCGTCACAGCTCACAGAAACCTCAAACTCTTGGGCTTAAGCAATTCTCTTGCCTCAGCCTCCCAAGAAGCTGGGACCACAG